GACGTTTCCACGCCACTATAGACATTATACAAATCGTCCTCCAGTCCGCTAAGAACATAATTCTTGCATAGAAAATCAGAATGCTTCCACGCCTCAATCACGAGAAAGCGTTCATTCTCTGGAGTTTCATCAGGCAAACAAGAACATCTTCCTTGATGAACTTCTGCAGACTTAAAGTAGTCAAGTAGAAAAACACCTTTTGCTGCCACCGCTTGAAATCTAACTTGGAAAATTTTTCGGGTTTCTTCGCCCGTGCCAACACTGGTGTTCAGCTTGTTGATGCATTGGCAGTCACCATTTGAACAACCTGGTTCCCGTTATCATTAGTCATTTCTGTAAAAGAATGACACAAACAAATGTTAAAATCACGTAGATTTTAATCTCCAACAGAGTAGAAAACCACAAAGGTTTTAAACTCCAAACCAGTGAATATAACACAAATACAGAATACAAATTAAATTCCTTAAGCTTGTTAGTAAACTGTATTTGTAAAATAATTTTGGAGAAAATAAAATAACATAAACAGAAAATGTAAAGAAACAAAAGTTAATCCGAGCCCACTGAACTCACAGTGTTTCCTTAAGGAATTTAATCTCCTCCTAGTACCCAAGGTTATGGATTATTTCCTTCCATGATAGAACGAATTACACACTAGTGCAGTGGTACTTCAAACCCCAGTGTTTCAGCGAACACAAAATTCAGTAGCAAATCACACTTACTGTTGCTTTCTTTGAAGTTAAAACAATGCAGAAGAAGGAGGAGAAACTCAGAAAATCGTATGGAAATTCTGAGAGAATGAACTTGTATTTATAGCCAACGTTGGGCTGAAATCTGAAGAGGTGCAACTCTTCAGAATGGTTGTTTATGCAAAACGGCCACAACATAAATGGCTACTTACTCATCAATAAAGAGGGAAAATAAAGAGGAAAAATTGAAGAGTGCAGTTAATTTTCTGTTACCAAAACAAAAAATAAAAAAATGGAAACGGATTTTAATATTAATATTCTTGGATTTAATATTAATATTTTGTTATTAAAACGGATGTTTAATAATATTTTTGATAACAAACAAATTTGGTCCAAAAATTAATTAATCCGAAGCCGAAGCCGGCGACGATGTGAGGCTCGCCTTCTTCTCAACTCTTTAAGAGTTAGAAGAAGAGCAATTGCTTATATACCCATTAAAAACCTCTTCCTCTTCCAATATGGGACAATGTCCCTTTGCCAAAGGGAGAAACTTAAAATTTAATTTCCCTCCATTTTCCGTTCACCCTCTTTTAACTATTAATATACTTAAAATCCCAACAATTTATAGCGGATGACGAGAGATACACACATTACTCCAATTGTGACTTAGTTGCTCTCAACCCGAACAACACAAATGTTGTAAACATGGCTACTTTGATGACTCAGATGAGCCTACTGATAAAGAAGATTAATGATACGGGCACGAAGCAGATTCATATTGTCGACACAACAAATGGCTGAGTATTCACGTTTTTGTATTAATTAACCATATGTTTGCTCGTGGAGTGGTAGATGTGAATCCAAGGGCTAAACATAAGACATGAACTATGTGAACAACTTTGATGGTCATAGGCAAGATGGTCAGAAAATAGCAAAATCAATAAATACAATATAGAACTGCCTAGCCATAGTTGCAGTACAATAACTGACTACAAGGTCAGCTGGTGTCATATCAAAGGCAAACTGACTACAATCACCAGCAACGACAATTAACTTATCCTCAATAATCGCAACAGTTAGTCAATTAGTATGATGTTTGTTTATCGTGAAAATAAAAATAACAATTAAATTTGTTAATGAGACTCTAAAAATACGAGATCCATTTTTATGCAAGTTGTTAGTGTTGATACCCAATTTTATCCTACCTTTCTTCTGATTAATTTTCTAGTGCTCCCTAGTCATTAATAGTTTCATGCCCTATCTTAATTATTTGTTACCTTTTATTACTATTATTGTTATAGTTATTGAAGTGATTAGTCTATTATTATTATTATTATNATATATAGTACTATATTATACACATATTTTTTGGAGTTTCATAGAGTTTTTGAAAGACATGTTTATTTTTTTTTATGGTTGCTATTTTAAAATGGTCATAGTTAAACGATTTTGAAGTATCAAGAATAATTTATAGTGGATATAAATTTCAATCATCGTGCCAATCAGTCTGTGTAATTAGCACGATGGACTATATTTAAGTTGTTTGCAAATACGTGATTTTAATTTTGATCCATACACCTCTACCACTTCTCTAAGTCTTCGAATTCCCTTGAAGGAATTTCAATTAAAATACCACACCATAGCCCAACAGAATCCGGTGTCACGAATATGTGCTTCTAATATAAAATATCCACCTATTACAAGTCTGTCTAGGAAAAATACGGAATAAAAGATAGAGATAGAGGGGAGAGATCAAGGCTGCGAACGCCATGCAGCTACCTCAATACTCCCGGATACTGCCTGCTCAGCTAAACAATTCCTCACTTAGCCTGTGGTGTACCTGGATCTGCACGCAAGGTGCAGGGAGTAATGTGAGTACTCCGACCCAGTGAGTAATAAACATAAATAAAGGCTGAGAATAAGAAATCATGGAAAAATACAAAGTAAACTATAACTGGCAGTTTAGAACAACAAATAGTGAAGCAACAAGTCAATTAAGTCAGAGTACCAAATACTGAGACAAGTATAACAGATAAAAACAAATGCATGAATGCAATGCAATGCATATGATGGTACACTCCAGTACCCACTGCGGCGTGCAGCCCGAGCCATCCATTTATTTATCGTCGACGGCGCTCACTGGGGGTGTGTGCAGACTCCGGAGGGGCTCCTACAGCCCAAGCGCAATATCAAGCCATCTTATGGCATCAAATTTAGGCCCTCGGCCTCATATCAATATAACACTGCTGCGGTGCGCAACCCAATTCATGCTCAGTCCAGAAATCATCATAAGCCCCTTGGGCATTTGTAAAACAGTAGTTCTCAGCCCGAAATATTATTTAGAAATATCATTTAAGTTTTCAAATCTTAGAAAGATGGCTGAGTTTGCAAAACAGTATTTAAAACCTTGGACTGAGGTCAAATGATATGCAAAATATGCGAAAGCAGTGATATCAATCCCTGAAGGATTCAAATAATTGGCAAGAAGCCCAAATGTAACAATTAAATCCAAGTAAGGATGATTCTCAATTTAGTTCAAGTAGAAAACACGGTAAAAACATCTCTCGGGACGGACCAAGTCACAATCCCCAACGGTGCTCTACCCCACGCCCGTTATCCGGCGTGCAAGTCACCTCAATATAGCGTTACGATGTGAAATTCCGGGGTTTCAAACCCTCAGGACATCATTTACACAATTACTCACCTCAAGACGGTCAAAGTCTTGCTCGCTATGCCCTTGCCTCTCAAATTACCCTCCTCGTGCGACGAATCTGCCCAAAATCACAACGAATATGTCGCATTATGCTAAAGAGACAATACCCAATCGAAAGCAATCGAAAAATATCAAAATTCACGAATTTGACAAAATCCGAGCCTCGGGCCCAAATCTCGAAAAAATAGAAAATTAACATCACCGGATTCCTTGTCTCGCCACGAGTCTATACATACCAAGAACTCCCAAATCCGAGTTCAAATGACCCATCAAATCCTAATTGTTTGGTTTCAAAATTCAAGACCTAGTTCTTGATTTGTAGGCTTATATTTCGTGAAACTCTAGGTGGAATTCACAATAAAAATGAGTTCTAAGTCCAAGAAACTTACCTCAAGTCGTTCCCCCTTGAATCCCTCTTTAATCTCCACCAAGAAGCTCTCAAAATTATCAACCATGGAGGAAAAATGACCCAAAATCGCGAATGATTTGTTTTGTAAACTCAAATTTTTCAAAAGTACTGTTTACCCGCGCTGTTACTGTTCATGCGTGTGGTCACTGTTCACCCGCGTGGTTACTGTTCACGCTGCTAAAAAAAATACAACAACAGCCAAAGAAATTGCAGCACTTTTCTTTTTACTAAAATGGCTCTAACTCCATCATACGAACTCGGAATTCGATGATTCTTGTTCCTATGATTCACAAATAATGATACGAACATAGTCCTTCAATCGAAACTCAATTCGGAGCTTGTTTGATCAGTGCGATATCCATTTCGCTCGTTAAACAATTAACTCATGTTTCGTGTCAAAAACCCAACCACGACTTGATGAAATTAGACCAAACTTTTCAGATCACTCCTATAATTCATTATTTAAATTCTGGAAATCTCAAAATAAAATTTCGATCTCTAGAACTAAAAATGGACCTTTGGATCATTACATGCTTATGCTCAAACGGCAAAAATCTTCCAAAAACTCTTCCAAAAATTATCCGAGCCTCATGGGACCCAGACCAAACATGCCAACATAATTCATAACATTATTCAAACCTCTTTCAATTATCAAAACACCTCAAACAACATCAAATTACCCAAAACTCATCGAATTCAAGCCTAATTTTCTAAAAACTTCCGAAATACACTTTCCATCAAAAACCCGACCAAACCACGTCCGAATGACCTGAAATTTTGCACACATATCCCAAATCACCTAACGAAGCTACAAAAACTCTCAGAATTCCATTCCGACTCTAGGATCAAAATCTCACCTATCAACCGGAATACGCCAAATACTAACTTCGCCAATTCAAGCCTAATTCTACACCGGACCTCTAAAATTACTTCTGATCACACTCCTAAGTCACAAATCATCCCCCGAAGCTAACTGAATTATCGGGATTTAAATTCGAGCCCTCTAACACATAAGTCAACGTCCGGTTAACTTTTCCAAAACAAACCTTCCTTAAAGAGACTAAGTGTCTCATTTCCTACTAAAACCAATCGAAATCAACTCGTTCACACCCAACACTGATAATGAAGCATAAAGAAATAGAAAATGGAGAAAATGGGGAGGTAACTCACGAGACGACGGTTTGGGTCGTCACACTCTATCTCCCCAAAACAGACGCCCCACTCCCTTCTCCATTTTCAAAAAACTTCCAAGCTCTTATATCTTTCAAGCAGAGGAATGACACACCATTTTTGTGTCAAAGGTCTCTCTACTCTCATTACGTATCTAAATATTCCAAAGGATATTCTTTTACCTCTTTCTTGTTTGTGCTTGACAACTTCGAAATCAAATTGAGGCAGACCACAGCCTCGCCAATTCGGGTAAAGACTGGAACAAATCACGCCTTTTTGACCAAATCACGTGATGTCTGCAAAGTCCGTCCAAGAAAGATCAACGATCAAATTTAAAACGTTCATTTTGAATGAAAAATCAAAAATCAAGAATCCCGCCCAACTAACCCTAGAGAGCCCTAATTCATCTCCTATAAATACCAAACTTTGTGGAGATTTTCAGCAACTTTTGATCCCACATTCTCTGATTTCTTACTCATTGGAGCCACGCTTTAAGGGCTCGTTTTGGTCACCCCCTACTGGTCTCGTTTAACCGAACTAGAGGCGGCGGCATAATCATTTTTGAATTTGATGATTGTTCGAGGTTGCGGAGTAGAGGCCGAAGATAGTAGACCTTGACGCGACCCCAGTTCCTGCACCGCAAAAGGTCAGTTTTTCCTTCTAAGTTTTAGTCGCTCTTTATTTTTATTAAGTATAAAGTTATTGTTTTCTTATCCAGTAGAATCATGTGTTAGTCCCCTTTTGTTCTGTTATAGAAGTTCATGGTCAGTTACTTTCTTTGTGTAAATCATGTATACAGAAATTTGTTTGGTTCACTCATGAAGCATATTCATAAGATGCCACTATTTTCATACTAATTAGGAATTAAAAAGTTTCACGTTAAAACTTGATCTCAAAAACTAATTTAATCCTTATCAATCTCTGTCCGTTTCAATTTCATTAAAAGAGGAGTAGATCCGAAGCCTTAAGAGCACCAGCGTCACTGTTCCAATAAAAGTTAGATCTGAACCTGCTATTCTGTATTTATTACTTTAAGTAACATATTAGAAATCATGATTTAGAGTTAATTTGTGTGTAGAAATTATGTCTTTAAGGAAATTAGTTTCTGGGCGTGAGGTATTTGCATTATGACTGATAATATTCCATAAAAATGCTAGCTGTTTTTTTGTTAAAAGTTACCATGTGTTTTATCATTTATAAATGTTGTAGAAGTTTTATAGTGTGTTTTTTTCTATTTTTTAGTTCTTATGCAGCAGAGATTCATGCCTTAAATTCTGCCAGAATCATGACTATAGTAACCTATTCCCTTGCATAGATATGTGGAAAGACAACATGTTCTCTAGCTGTTAGGATTCATTACAAGTTTGAACCTTTAGATGGAAGCCATGTTCATCCACTATGTGTATATAAAAAATATCTCATTTTAGTTCGTGATTAAGAACTATTTCTAAAAAAAACCTTATTATAACCATAGATGGATTTTGCATTCATATTGAGAAATCATATTTTCAAGAAAAGGGTAGTATCAATTTGAAATATATGTGTACATGTATAAGATATTCATATAGACTATTAAAGTATCTGTTAGAATCCATATTGTGTGGAGTTTGTTTTATTATTGATGATTAATTTTATCGTGTAAATTTATAACCGTGATTCTGGCCAAATATCTTAATAATCAAAAATCTTCTAAGAATTCAATCACTTGGAATATTGGTACGTCCTCTTTTGAGACTTAAAGAAGGCAACAAAACTTTCTTATGCTTGACAACGTGGCTTTTGAATTGAGTTTTGCAGATTTTTTTTTCTTTAAATAAATAATTTCAATAACTTCTTAACCTTATTAAAGTTTGATGACAAACAAAAAATAATTTTTTTTAATTGCGGTTAGTGACAGGTTTTTTAAAAAAAATGGTCGTTTGCTTCCAAATTTATATATGCACATATTAATTAGCTTTTAACTTCTTCTTTTTTTACTTAATAATATTTTCAAGTTTAAACTACTCAATTATAAGCTATTGTCTTGTAATACCTTAAATGTTTTCGATAAATTATTTAATACTTATTAACCTAAGTTCGGCCGGTTAATCGTTATTAACAAATTTTAAAAGCTGTTTTAAAGCCTTCCTTTTAAAATATTTAAAAATCTTATTTAGAATCTTAAGGTTAAGACCATAAGACAGAGTTTGACTTAAGCTATAAAAATAGGTGTCCTAATTCACCTTAGAATTAATTAGGTGGCGATTCTTTTAAAAATTAATTCAACCTCAGAATCGCTAATATGTTATACTCTAATTTGACCTGGTTTAAATGGGGTATAACAGCTTGGCGACTCTGCTGGGGATTTTAGATTTTAAACCATAACAAACTTAGGTTAATAAAAATGTCTTTTGTATTTTGTAAATATTTTTGTTTGTTACCTTATTTGAAAATGTGCTACTCCTTATAAAATGTGATTACTATCTTTTATAAACTGTCATTCCGTTTTTACTTCCTCCACTTTTAGAAAATTCACACTGAGCACACACCTAGCGGTTACGCGGTTTGCGGCCGTGCACTTTTTCAAAAAATACCTTTTAGGGGAAAGTTTGTGGGTAAGTCGATCAGCTGTGCAATTGACAGTCACAACTTTCCACTCTCAAGTTGTCCACTTGGGAAAAGACCAGTCTAGAAAACCCACTCTTAGTCGACCTAGGATAGAGCTAAACCAAATCCCTTCTTAGGGGCATGCATCACGCAACCTTAGAAGGCTTAATACCTTAGGTGTGTTAAGTCCATTAGTTAGCCTTATCCAAATGTCCAAGCGGGTTTATAACCCCGAGTGACACCTTCCTTTATGTGCATTATTTGAAAGATAAACACACTGCTTATGTGGACTATTTACTCCTAAAAAGGAAAAACGGGTAGGATTAACCTTTTCTGTAATGCAGGAAATCATGAATCAAGTTGTTTACCCAAAGATTGGCATGGTGTTGGACATCCCTCCCAAACTAAAGGCATGGTGGAGAAACTTAGGAGAGAATGCACAGTCCAAAGTACGAAAGAAGTTGGGTCACCTACCGTTACTTATGGAAGTCACAGCATGTAAGGAAGTAATTGAAGCATCAGTCACCTTCTGGGATGAAGAAAGAGCCGTATTCAAATTTGGGGAAAATGAGATGACACCATTTTTAGAAGAAATTTGAGGCTTCATAGAGAATGTGAGTTTGTTATGGAAAGGCAGACATTCTTGGCAAAGCGCTGACATGATTATTCCAAAAAATTTCTCGATAAAAGAGTTCCTTGAAAAGTTTGGTTTTGAGAAAGAAATGGGGCTAAAGCATTTGAAAGAATCCAAGATACCCCTGACTGTCTGTTCGACATTTTTGGATGTTCAGATGCTTTTATACGACATCTAGAGGTGTTCTCCTCACATGCTTCTTGGAGTGAAAAGAGGGTATTCGCCTTTTCGGTTTGTATCCTCGGCTCCTAGTATTTCCCCGAGGAGCAAAACAGGAGATTCACACCCGACTTGTCATGGTTGCTGATGAATTATTTAATGGCATTGATGGAAAGCCATACAACATAGTGTCGATGGTTGTTGTAGATATATACCGAGCTTTGGGCCTTTACAAGAAGGGATTTAAACATTTTGAGGGATGTAATTTGTTGCTACAGTTGTAGTTTATGGGGCCATCTTCGAAAGATCAGTGGAAGCCAAGAGCTTTACAAGAAAAACGGTGCTAATCATATCACTTCATACACGATCCCAGTGGTTGCATTCATAAGAGGGATTAATATGGGAGGCCGAATCAAAGATAAGGCAACAGAAGCTGAAATCAAGTACCGTTGGTTGAAAAGAAGGGTGTCCGAGTCTGAAGCAAAGCACAAGGAGCAGCATGAGAAGGACACCAAAGAGATTGAAATGTTGACACAACAAGAAGAAATATAGAAGCAACAAATAGAAATATGGAAACAACAAGCTATGGAAATGGAGCAAGGACTCAAATATTTGGATGGAGACCTCGAGAAGTAGATCATAGAATGCTATTGCCAAGGACTCGATGAAGGAGGAAAGTTAGCCATGGTTTACCTTGTGAAGAATCGCCAGAAAATCGACAAGGCAATAAGAGCAGCGAAGAGGCTAAGGGGCAATGAAGAACCATCCTTAGTCAATTAGATTAGAACTATGTTGTAATCTTTATTTCAATTATGGCTAAGCCATTGTAATCGTTTTAGACTAAGACAATGTTAGTATTTCTCTTTTCATTTATGTACTAAGACTCAAATCATCGATGAAAGTTTATTTTGGGGTATCTAATTAAGGAGCAATGGAATCATATAAAATGGTGTGTCTATCTCTCAAATTTTCGATAGGCCTACCTCTGGCACAAAGAGGTCCCGTGCATACTAGGACACGCTTATCATTGCTTGACTTGTTTGTATTATTATGTGATTTGTTTGTTATGTGATATACTTGCTTTTAAATTTAATCACCCCTTACTAACATTGTCTTTTATTTTCTTTTTAAAGGTTTTCTATTTTATTGCTCCCCAAGGTTGATTTGTGTTGACTGCGAACTGGATGAACACCCATACTTCACGAGATCTAAGGCACAAGCAGCTACCAACATGACTGGTTCAAACACATCTAATATGACAGGCTTGGGACTTGTCACCGTTTAACGAGACGAACCCGAGGCTCAGAAGGAAGGGAGGTTACTCTTCGTGATGAGCACATTGCCTAGTTATCGCAACAAGTGGCTAACCTGCAAGGTAAAACTGAACAGCTTTGGAACCTTACCAATCTTTATATTAGCCTCAACACACCACTTCCCAAAGAAAGGACAAATGCACCTATCCCACCACCTTTCCCATCGTTTGACTCACCTATCCCGAAACACCTTCCACCAAACCCTCTACTTCACAACAACAAGCCAGCATCTACTAACGCACATGCTAACCCGCAACAAGCCAACCCATCGACTTTCAACACATCATATGTTTCCTAACCACCACTAGCCCAAAGCACCACGCTCACCCAAAACCACTATGTAACCCAACACATACCGATGGCACACGTCGCTATTCCTAACATGCAGCATGTGTCGCCAGTATATGTAGCGGAAGCACAACCTTTTACTACCCCTATGCCTTACCAACTTCACTCCAAAGTGTATCAGTATCAGGAAGCAGAAACAAAAGTAAGGGCCAAAGCCGACGAGTATATGGCGAAGGAGATCCGTGAGTTAAAGGAAGCATTCAAAAGTCTGAAAACCATAAGGAGTATGGAAGGTTTGGAGTATGAGGATCTATGTGTTCATACCGATGTCGATTTACCCGCAGGATATAAAGTACCAAAATTTGACATGTTTGATGGAAAAGGAAACCCACGAGCTCATTTGAGGTCGTATTGTGATAAGTTAGTTGGAGTGGGAAAGGATGAAGCTATCAGGATGAAACTTTTATAAGGAGTCTTACAGGATAAGCCCTTGATTGGTACACAAGTCAAGAGTCACAGAAATGGCGCAGCTGGAGTGTCATGGCACAAGAATTCATGGATAGATTCAGATTTAACACCGAGACCAACCCAGATAGATTCTATTTGATAAAGTTGGAGAAGAAAACAACAGAATCCTTTAGAGAGTATGCCATGAGATGGAGGGCAGAAGCAGCAAAATTCCAACCCCCGATGGGAGAGGATGATATGACAACTACTTTTATTCGATCTCAAACGGATGGAACATACTATGAGAGATTGATAAGCATGCTGGGGTAGAAATTCTCGAAAGTTGTTTGGATGGGAGACGATATAGAGGAAGGTCTCAAATCTGGAAAGATTACAAACTTGGCAGCACTACAAGCAACGAGTAAGGCAATCCAGTCAGGAACTATTGGAGGAGCAAGTAAGAAGAAGGAGAAAGAAGTATCTGTTGTTATGACCATCCAAAACCGCAGGCCTAACCAAATGTTAACCTACCAAAACTCGTTACCTCAACCTTCATACTATAGCCCATACACGCAAACTCCTCAACCTTATTACCAACCTTCACCCATTCCCTATCCTGTTTATAATGCTCAACAAACCTATTATCTACACCGAGCACCCACATACCCGAATCCATCACATTACCAACCCACATATCCATCTCAACCCCACTACCAATCACAAAACCGCCCAAATGCACCTAGACCTCGCCCGAGCTTTGAAAGAAAACTAGCCAAAACCTATACACCCCTAGCTGAACCTTTAGCCTAGTTGTATGAAGGTTGAAAGCCGCAGGAGTACTCCAACCGTTCTAGGAAGAGTTCCCGACCCCCTCCCAGGATGGTATGATGGGACCAAACATTGTGCGTATCACTCTGGTGTGACGGGACATGACACACAAAATTGCCTTACTCTCAAAGATAAGATTGAAAAGTTGATCAAAGCAGGAACCATTCAGCTTAAGGGAGCTCCCCCGAATGTGAACAACAACCCTCTTCCAAATCACGATGATACCGGTATTAACATGATATCTACTGATGAAGATTGGAATTTGGAAGGAACAATTGTACCAATTGAAGATGAGAAAAAGGCTGTGTCATCTGCCTTCATTGCTCCTGTCATCACAGTGCAAGTGCGAGCACCAATTGAGGTGGAAGTACTCCCTCCGAAACCCAGGATCATGGCTCTAGTTGCTCAGAAACCCTCATTTGAAACCAAAGCAGTTCCTTAGGACTATCAGTCTGATGTAAGGAACAAAGGAAAGGCAAAATTAGTTGTAGAAGCTGCTGCTGCAGGTATGACAAGATTCGGTCGGTGTTATGTTCCTGAAGAAGCATCACGAGGAAGAAGAAGAAGAGTTTTGGAGAAAAATGCAATGTAGCGGATACTTTGTTGTAGACCAACTGAAGAAGACGCCAGATCAAATTTCCCTCATGTCATTATTGATGAGTTCTGACAGCCACAAGAATGCTTTGGTAAAAGTACTCAATGAAGCATATGTGCCAGCCGAGATAACTAGTGAACATTTGGAATCTATGGTAGCCCAAATTTTAGAAGCCCATAAGATTTCTTTTCATGAGGATGAATTGCCACCTGAAGGTCTAAGTCACAACAAAGCTTTGCATCTCACTGTCAAGTGCAGGGACAAGTTTGTTTCTAGGGTTTTGATCGATAATGGTTCTGCATTCAATATATGTCCTTTCACTACCCTCAAAGCTTTGGGAATTGATATTGGAAAAGTTCGTGAATGTCATGTGAATGTTAGAGCTTTTAATGGAGCGCAAAGGAGTGCTATTGGTGAAATTGACTTAGCATTACAAATTGGGCATGTGGAGTTTATCATTGAATTTCAAGTGTTAGATATATCTGCTACTTATAATTTGTTGTTGGGAAGGCCGTGGATACACATGGCTGGTGCAGTCCCTTCCACTTTGCACCAGAACGTGAAGTTTGTGTGGAGTCACCAGGAGGTTGTGATTCATGGAGAAGCAAGCAATCCCATTTACCCCAAGAATTCAATCCTTGTCATCGAAAGTGTGGAGAGGCTGGATGGACCCACTTTCCACATTGAAGAAATTGTGACTGCTACTCGAGGTAAAGAGATAAAGTTGCCAAGTGTGTTCATGATGGTGGCATCAGAAATGTTGAAGAATGGTTTCGAGCCTGGTCGAGGAATTGGAGCAAGGTTGCATGGAATAGTGGAGCCAATTCAGTTACCGGGACAGAACAACATATTTGGCCTAGGGTACGAACCCACTCCAAAATAAGTCTTGGAGGCTCGTCTCAAGAAGAAACGTGACATTGTCCTACCACAGCCTATCCCGCCGCTAAGCCAGTCATTCCCCAAGATAATTACTATTCATGAGCTAGATGAAGATGCTGAAGACGACCTCGTTGAAGGAATCAAGAACCTATTTATTACCAACTGCAACGTGATTTTGAAGGATTGCACTGAGGCGCGAACTATTTGGGATGCCGCACCTGGAGATGTTTTGAACAATTGGACTTGTACCCCGTCCTCGGTTCACCGGGAGTCTTGGTAGATGGATTGTATTAGTAGTTGTTTTCAAAAAATGATTCAAAATTGAGGCCTGAATCGTGTCTATGATTTTTATGTTGTTTGCCTCGATCTTTTGGAAGCTTAAATGCAAAATTTGAATATACTTTTTCACTTTACATTTAAATTTTTGTCTTTATTAATTTTCTTTCTTTTTATTGTGTTTTTCAGCAAACAAATTAATAAAAATGCCGACATCGTGAATGTGACATGTAATGAAACAAGTGAACAAAATAACAAGAAAGATCTTGAAGAATATGAAGAAGATGTGCTGCCTGCAGAATTAACTAAAGAACTTGAGCAGTTTGAGAACAAGTCAAAACCAAATTTGGATGAAACTGAGCATATAAATTTGGGGGATTCAGAGTCTATAAAAGAAACAAGAATTAGTGTCCATTTGACACCATCAGAAAAAGAGAAATATGTGGATCTTTTAGACAATACGTCAATGTGTTCGCTTGGTCGTATGATGACATGCCTGATTTAAGCACTAATATTGTTTCCCATAAGTTGCCAACGGATCCATCTTGTCCCCCAGTAAAGCAAAAAACAAGAAAATTCAAAACGGACTTAAGTTTGAAGATCAAAGAAGAAGTCTCCAAGCAATTTAAGGCAAATGTCATCCGAGTCACGAAGTACCCCACCTGGTTGGCCAATATAGTACCAGTACCAAAGAAGGATGGGAAGATCAGAATATGTGTGGATTATCGGGATCTCAACAAGGCTAGTCCAAAGGATGATTTCCCACTTCTGAATATTCACATACTCATTCATAATTGTGCAAAGCATAAGTTGCAGCCATTCGTTGATTGCTTTGCCGGTTACCACCAAATTTTGATGGATAAAGATGATGCTAAGAAGACAACGTTTATCACACCTTGGGGGTGTATTGTTATTGGGTAATGCCTTTTGGACTCAAGAATACAGGTGCTACATACATGAGAGCTATGACAACTATTTTTCATAACATGATCCATAAAGAGATTGAGGTCTATGTGGACGATGTCATCATCAAGTCACGGAAGAGTTCAGATCACTTGGTAGACCTAAAGAAGTTCTTTGATAGGTTGCAGCGATATAATTTGAAGTTGAATCCCACAAAGTGTGTATTCGGAGTTCCAGCTGGAAAATTATTAGGTTTCATTGTCAGTAGAAGAGGCAAAGAGTTGGATCCTTCAAAGATAAAGGCTATCCAAGACCTTCCACCTCCAAAGAATCGGAAGGACGTGATGAGCTTCCTTGGTCACCTTAACTACATCAGTCATTTCATAGCCTAATCAACAGTGATTTGTGAGCCGATATTCAAGATGCTGAGGAAAGATACCACTACCAAATGGACAGAGGAATGTCAACGAGCTTTTGATAGGATCAAGGAATATTTATTTAACCCACCAGTGTTGGTACCTCCGGAACTTGGAAGGCCGTTGTTGTTATACATGTCCATATCAGATAATGCATTTGGATGTGTTTTGGGGCAACATGATGAAACTGGGAGGAAGGAACAAGTCATATACTACTTGAGAAAGAAATTCATACCATATGAAGCAAGATATACTTTGTTGGAACGTATCTGTTGTGCCTTAAATTGGGTTGCACAAAAGTTGAGGCATTACTTCTCAGCATACACTACTTATCTCATTTCCAGGATGAACCCGCTCAAGTACATCTTTCAGAAACCTATGCCTACAGGAAAGCAGGCGAAGTGGCATATTTTGCTAAGTGAGTTTGACATCGTGTATGTTACTCAGAAGGCCATCAAAGGACAAGCTTTATTTGACCACCTTGCAGAAAATCCTGTGGATGAAGAATACAAGCCACTTAGGACATACTTCCCAGATGAAGAAGTATTATTTGCTGGAGAAGACATTTTAGAGGCATATTCTGGTTGGAGAATGTTCTTTGACGGAGCCGCAAACTTCAAAGGAGTCGGAGTTGGAGCAGTATTAGTTTCAGAATCTGGATAACATTATGCAATCTCAGCAAAACTTCGTTTCCGTGCACCAACAACATGGCAGAATATGAGGCTTGTATACTTGGTCTTAGAATGGCTGTTGATATGAACATCCAAGAGTTGTTGGTTATATGTGATTCAGACTTGCTGATTCATCAAGTACAAGGCGAAAGGAATACAATGAACACATAAAACCTACCGTACTTATATTGTGTAAAGGAGTTGTGTAAGAAGTTTATCAAAGTGGACTTCAAGCAAGTTCCAAGAGTTCAAAATGAGTTTGCAGATGCTTTGGAAACTTTGACTTCCATGATTCAACATCCAGATAAAAACTACATAAACCCCATCAAGGTGAATGTGCAAGATTAACCAGTTTATTGTTTCCATGTGGATGAAGAGTCAGACGGAGAACCATGGTATTATGACATTAAGAGGTATCTCAAGACAAGGGATTACCCTGAAAGAAGCAACCATTACCCAGAAGAGAACGCTTAGGAGATTGGCAAATCACTTTTTCCTAAACGGCAAAATCCTATATAGGAGGACCCCAAATTTAGGACTGTTGAGGTGTGTAGATGCCAGGGAAGCAACCAAGCTGATTGAAGAAATACACGCAGGAACATGTGGGCCTCACATGAATGGGTTTACCTTGGCAAAGAAAATTCTGCGAGCAGGTTACTTTTGGATGACCATGAAAACAGATTGCATTCATTTTTTACAGTAATGTCATTAGTGTCAGATCCACGGTGATTTGATTCGAGTCCCACCAAATGAACTCAATGTGACGAGTTCTCCTTGGTCGTTTGCAGCTTGGGGCATGGATGTCATTCGCCCTATTGAGCCAGCCGCCTCGAATGGGCATAGATTTATCTTGGTAGCTATTGATTACTTTACAAAGTGGGTAGAAGCCTCTTCTTACAAGCCAGTTACAAAGAAGGTGGTACAGATTGTCCGCAACAACATCGTTTGCCGATTAAGAATTCCTGAGTCAATCATCACAGATAATGGAGCCAATCTCAATAGTGACTTGATACAAGAAATATGTGATGAGTTCAAGATTACACACCGAAATTCCACTCCCTACCGACGTCAGATGAATAGAGTCGTTGAAGCAGCCAACAAGAACATAAAGAAGATATTGCGGAAGATGATTGATAACTATAGGCACTAGCATGAGAAGCTACCATTTGCTCTCCTTGGATATCGCACTACAGTCAGAATATCAACTGGGGCAACGCCTTATCTTATGGTCTATGGAACTGAAGCCATATTACCAGTGGAAGTTGAAATATCATCTTTGAGGGTCATCCAGGAAGCCGAGCTGAGTAATGCAGAATGGGTAAAGAATCGGTACGAACAACTTATGTTTATTGACGAGAAGAGAATGAATGTTTGCCATGGTCAACTCTATCAAAATAGGAAAGTGAAACCACGTTAGTTTAAACTGGGGCAACTGGTTTTGAAGCGCATATTCCCGCACCAAAATGAAGCTAAAGGAAGGTTTGCACCAAATTGGCAAGATCCATACATGGTGCATCGAGTATTGACTGGAGGAGCACTGATTCTAGCAGAAATGGATGGAGAATTGTGGCCCAAGACCATCAACACAGATGCAGCCAAGAGATACTATATTTAGAGGCATATCTAGCAACCTCTTTCTTTTCTATGTAATGCTTCTTAATGTAAATGAACTACGTTTGACCTGATTCCCGTTTAAGAGGGAATACATAGGCAGCCCTGTGGGTTCGGTCTCATCATAATAAAAATTCAATATTTCCCCCAAATTGGAAATTGGGGCAACTTTTGAAGGCATCATCATAAGGAGGCATCAGTCATCGACAAAGGATGGTCAAGCAAGATGAATGACGGGATTCCAGATGAGGACGTTCACTTTGTTTCAAGAGCATGTCACAATGCAGAATTCGGCAATAACTTTATTTTATAAAATTTATGCATATTTTATTTATTAAAATAGGATTTTTCATCAAAATTTCTTAACTATTCGTTCGCCAAGATTCAATGTTGGGTGGAGGTTACAAGTCCAAACAAAGTGGGAAGCACAAGATTATCAAAGGCCAGAGCATCAAAGTCAACACGGATCAACATTCCCCCCAAAACTCACAATTGTTTCTTTGAGTGCAGATTTTAAAGATAGAGGAAGCAGAAGAATCAATAACGAATATAAATATCAAGAGCCTTCGTCAAGAGGTTTGAATTTTTTATAGTACTTTATAGAAAATTACACCTTTTGAATGATGATGATCTTTAAAATCCAAGTTTGAGATTTTTCTAATGATGATTTTGGAATCTTACAATATTTTTTAATACATTGATTGTCATTACTTTTCAGCTACTAATTTTTTTTATAAATGCAAACTACATGGCACACGGCTTTAAATATATTGCACATAAACATTTAAATACACTGCACCATTGCTTTCAAATACACTGCAAATGCACTGCACAAATGCTTTCAAATGCATTGCACCATTGTTTTTGAATGCACCATTTCCTGCAAAATGCATAATATAAATGCTTTTAAATGCACTGCACTTTTGCTTTCAAAGGCACTGCAAATGCACTGCACAAATGCTTTAAAAAGTACCATTGCTTGCAAATGCACGATGCAAATACTTTCAACTACACTGCACCATTACTTTTAAATGCACCACACAATTGCCTTGCAAATGCACCACAAATATTTTCATTACCTTAAATCATTTGGCTTGGAATACCTCATCAGTCATTTGGCTTAAACGCCTCAATTTCTTCATCATTTGGCTTAAATGCCTCATTTTCATCAATCATTGGCTTAAATGCCTCATTTTTATCAATCATACATAAGTCATCGCTGAAAGGCACCATTTACATGAATCATTGGCTCAAAGCCTCATTTCATTAGTCATGATCAAAGAATTATTTTTAATATACCTGGCTTATTTTATGATAAATTAATGGCTTAGAGGTGTCACTTTAATGAAATTATTGTTATGACTTATCGCATTTTTATATCTCGTTTACTAGTAATTTTACCTAACCTATTGAGTTTAGCAGGAAATTTAGCACAACGTGGAACTCTATCTAAGCAGCGGACTGGAATATTTTGCTGGGGAGGAAACCAGACTCGCCAGCAAAAGTCAAAGGTCTACTTTCGGATTCTGTTCGGCTTGACTACCAAAATCTTACCCAAAATCCTTATTTCGACACATTTTCTTTCAATCATGATTCCCAGTGTCTTACACCTTGTGTCTCCATAATTCGACACTAAGGCAATATTTTAGGATCCGCATCAATCATTAAATCCTACTCCATAGCACCATCAGTCTGGAATTACATATGGCTTGATTCTCGTGAAACCCAAGATATGTAGGCAACTCGAAACCAGAGTTCGACCCTAATCATTTTTTTTATCTCCCTTTTGCCCCATTTCAACCTTAATGGTCGGGACAAAATTGGCTACTACATCAATTTCTTTGCCCGAAAACTCTTTCATCATTTTTGGTCAAAGAGGGGCAGCTGTTGATACCCAATTTTGTCCTACCTTTCTTCTGATTAATTTTCTAGTGCTCCCTAGTCATTAATAGTTTCATGCCCTATCTTAATTATTTCTTACCTTTTATTACTATTATTGTTATAGTTATTGAAGTGATTAGTCTATTATTATTATTATTATTATTATACACATTGGAGGCATATACCTTAGTTTTATACACATTATATATATATATTTAATTAATTTAATATATAAATATATATATGTGATGCACATAAAATACACATTAAATAACACAACATATATAGTACTATATTATACACATATTTTTGGAGTTTCGTAGAGTTTTTGAAAGACATGTTTATTTTTTTTATGGTTGCTATTTTAAAATGGTCATAGTTAAAAGATTTTGAATTATCAAGAATAATTTATAGTGGATATAAATTTCAATCAAATCGTGCCAATCGGTTTGTGTAATTAGCACGATGAATTATTTTCAAGTTGTTTGCAAATACACAATTTTAATTTTAATCCATACACCTCTACCACTTCTCTAAGTCTTCGAATTCCCTTAAAGGAAGAAAGTTATTGAAAATAATCATGAATTTTGAGAGAGATTCAACAATTAATTAGAAGTGATATTTGTGGGGAGAAAGAAATCCATATTTGGATAAGTTTATTACTCAACATAATTTTATTTTAAAAGATATGATATATTAGTTTTACTGCTACAAATATGTTATATTTACTTATTATTGTTTATTTATGAAATTTTTATTGAGTCCAAGTTATTAAGATATCAGAGCAAAATTAAATTAATTGGAAGGAGGAAAGTGCCATGGTTTTCGGCCCAAGCAAAGCCTTTACATCACCACCTTTCAGTAGCCCATCACTTCTCAATAGCCCAATAACAGATCTAACAGCCCATCTTTTCCATAACCTAAATCTCCTAACCTCTCTCTATCTCCCCCAAAACAGACGCCCCACTCCCTTCTCCATTTTCAGAAAACCTCCAAGCTCTTATATCTTTCAAGCAGAGGAATGACGCACCATTTTTTTGCAAAAGGGTCTCTCTACTCTCATTACGTATCTAAATATTCCAAAGGATATTCCTTTTCCTCTTTCTGCCAATTCGGGTAAGGACTGTAACAAATCACGCCTTTTTGACCAAATCACGTGATGTCTGCAAAGTCCGTCCAAAAAAGATCAACGATCAAATTTAAAACGTTCATTTTGAATGAAAAATCAAAAATCAAGAATCCCGCCCAACTAACCCTAGAGAGCCCTAATTCATCTCCGATAAATACCAAACTTGGTGGAGATTTTCAGCAACTTTTGAACCCACATTCTCTGATTTCTTACTCATTGGAGCCACGCTTTAAGGGCTCGTTTTGGTCACCCCCTACTGGTCTCGTTTTATCGAACTAGAGGCGGCGGCGTAATCGTTTTGGAATTTGACGATTGTTCGAGGTTGCGGAGTAGAGGCCGAAGATAGTAAACCTTGACACGACCCCAGTTCCTGCACCGCAAAAGGTCAGTTTTTCCTTTTAAGTTTTAGTCGCTCTTTATTTTTATTAAGTATAAAGTTGTTGTTTTCTTATCCGGTAGAATCATGTGTTAGTCCCTTTTTGTTTTGTTATAGAAGTTCATGGTTCAGTTGCTTTCTTTGTATAAATCATGCATACAAAAATTTGTTTGGTTCACCCATGAAGCATATTCATAAGATGCCGCTATTTTCATACTAACTAGGAATTAAAAAGTTTCACGTTAAAACTTGATCTCAAAAACTAATTTAATCCCTATCTATCTCTGTCCGATTCAATTTCATTAAAAGAGGAGTAGATCCGAAGCCTTAAGAGCACCAGGGTCACTGTTCCAATAAAAGTTAGATCTGAACCTGCTATTCTGTATTTATTACTTTAAGTAACATATTAGAAATCATGATTTAGAGTTCATTTGTGTATAGAAATTATGTCTTTAAGGAAATTAGTTTCTGGGCGAGAGGTATTTGCATTATGAGTGATAATATTCCATAAAAATGCTAGCTGTTTTTTTTGCCAAAAGTTACCATGTGTTTTATCATTTATAAATGTTGTAGAAGTTTTATCGTGTGTTTTTTTTCTATTTTTTAGTTCTTGCAGCAGAGATTCATGCCTTAAATTATGCCAGAATCATGACTATAGTAACCTATTGCCTTGCATAGATATGTCGAAAGGCAACATGTTCTCTAGCTGTTAGGATTCATTACAAGTTTGAACCTTTAGATGGAAGCCATGTTCATCCACTGTGTGTATATAAAAAATATCTCATTTTAGTTCGTGATTAAGAACTATTTCTAAAAAAAACCTTATTATAACCATAGATGGATTTTTCTTACATTTTGAGAAATCATATTTTCAAGAAAAGGGTAGTATCAATTTGAAATATATGTGTACATGTATAAGATATTCATATAGATTATTAAAGTATCTGTTAGAATCCATGCTAATAGACAAATTGTAGCTTCATTTGATATTATGTTATGATTACATGTGGTTTATGATCTTGTCAAATGACTGGTTTATGTGGTAGAATAGCATTAAGTCTTGTTAAGCATTTGTCTTATTTGAGGTAGTGTTAGTTTAAGTTAGAAAGAAAACCTTCAGCTATTTTGTTGTATAACTTGTCTAATAGTTTATTGTTTACCAGAAGTATATTCTAAAACTCTAACCTGTATCAGTTTAATCACCTGGATGTAAATATTTATATAGGTTTATGTAGGAACTTACTATTGAAAACCTTTTCTCTAAGGCTTGATGCTAAAAGTTTTGTTTGGAATTCTATTGTCTGATATAAAAGAAGCCTGCAGCCTAAAAGGGTTTTGACAATATGAAAGCTAATTTGGGTTTTACAAAAGATTTATGTGATTATTCTACTCATTTCGAACACTAAAGTTTTAAGACTATTTTTACTAATCTTTATTCTCTATTTTTTTTATTTGCATGTACACTTCGGAGCGACCTAGAGTCTTAATGCAAGACTCATCCTACCCGCATATAGTTATCACAAACTATCTTCTTTAATCGCATTAGACAAGAAGAAAACAAGCAAATTTGTTTGGGGTCGCCTATGGCGGATTTCATTATTCTTTACTTACTTTGTCT